GTCCGTAGCTGCCGAGACGCGCTCTCATTCCTGCCCGCGAGGCTCTCTGGCAGGCGCGTTCTTTTGCACGTGTTCTGCCTCTTGGCAGCGTGCTCTCCTGGCCGTTACTGCTTTCAGCGTTTTGGTCTTTCCTTCACAGGCAAATCTAAAACTCCTCAGAAGGAGAGACTGTCTTTTTTTCTGTGTTTCCTCCAGAGCACATTGGACAGAGCTGGGTCTTCACTCGGTAGTTATTGAGGCTGATTAATTTGCCAGGGGGTGGGGATGGCGGGTTCCTTGACCCTTGAGATCTAGATAGGATGATCTCCAAGTCTCAGCTGCAGGAGCTGTCAAAGTCCAAGTGTCCCCCCAGATCCTGCAGGCTCCTCGGGGCGTCAGCCTTCATGGTCACCGCCTTCGGCTCCTGCTTTCCGGCAAGCTGCTCTGCAGAACGCTGACCCAGATACGCGGCGCAGCAAGCAAACACTCACTCACAAAAAGCACTGGACGGTCTGGTAGCGCTTGCTGGAAACTGGAGGGCATGGAAGCAGTATTTCTGCCTGTGCGCCCCTTCAGCAATGGAAATGGTTTCAGACCGGACGGCTGGCGCTCTGGCACTGCGGCTGCCCCCCACCGGGACGGGGCACTGGCTCCGAGCCAGGTAGGTCCTCCCCCCCCAGGAGTAACCCCTCACCCCCCAACACTCACGCCCCGCATCCACGCCCCCCCTCGGCAGAGCGGCGCGCCCGTCTGTGCCAGGCACCTTCGGACAGCAGTGTTTTTCAGGCTTTTCGGTGACCCCAGTGTCATATCAAAATTCTTTTCTCAGAAAGAAAATTCCCTCTCTCACTGGAAATCTGACACAGCTGTTGGAATAACTTAAAAAAAAATCCCTGTTACACTGAAATACCTGTTTACTTCAGGGGTTATTAATTTTGAAGTTTCTTCCTGTTCCTCAGCTCTCCTTTGTTAAACTGTTACATTATTCTTCTTGAACGATGCTTTTTCTTTCTTTCCTGTCATTTTTTTCCATGTGCTCTTTCGAAAGGGCCTTATTCTTGACCTCTGGAACTCTGGACTTTATTCGAGTATTAATACTTCCCCACAGTGACCTTTTCCTTCCCAAGCGGGTAAGATTGGCCAAAGCGAGGCATCAAACCAGCTCTCAGACCCGTCTGGGCGACGTAGCTGACACAGTTTACTTTGAAAGCGTCCACTCGCCGCTGGTCTACCGACGACCTTGTCGGTACTCAGCAGACAGTGGCTCTGCCAGGCACCGGCGTGACTCAGCAGAGACAGCGGCTGTCTCCTAACTAAGTAGTGTCTGTCGCCTTCCAGTGCCGTCTTTCCTCCTTCACTCACAGTGCTGCCACGTCTTAGTTCCATTAGTTCTTGAATTAGTGTTTTCCTCACGTCCACTAGAATCAGTATAAACTACTTCTGTGGAAAATACCGCTAAAGTCTTTAAACCAGTTGTATTTTAATTTTTTTGAGATGGGGTCTTGCTATGTTGCTCAGACTGGCCTTGAACTCCCGGGCTCAAGCGATGCTCCTGCCTCAGCTGCCCGAGTAGCTGGGACTACAGGCACCTGCCACTGTGCCTGGCTCTGGTTGTGCTGTATATTAACTTCCAATTAGATGTCTTCACATTTTCCTAGGAAAACTTAAGTTCATCATTCTGGATTTTCTCTTCTCTGTCCTTACTGGTATTTTGAGTATCCCACAATTTCACAGCCTTGGCAAGTTTTTCTTACTTAGATTTTTCCGGTGCAAGTAGCCAGTGGGACGCGGCACGAGTCGCAGTGATTGCATCACTTGCACAGGTCCCCAGCCCTGCCCCATCACGCACAAAACGAACATAAACTGTTACATTATTGGTGGCACTGCCATTGAGTCTCATTTCTCAGGGATAATTTCTAGTTTTCAAAAAATGAGCTTAATAGCTACTAGTTTGTAAAAAAAAAACTAACACAATTTATTAATTTTTCACAAGTTTTTAATTAACAATGGCTGTGTCAAAAATGTGCCCATTTACGAGGGATTTGACTTCAGTAGGGGAAGGATGCAGATACCCAAACATACTTACGTGTGCGCACGTGTGAAGTGGAAATCGTGCGCGGACGTCAGCTGTTTTTATTTGGGACTATTTGCTCACTGAAGATAAAACATTAAAGTTATCAGACAGCTATTACACATCTGTAGACATAGATGCTTAAAGAGCAGTTTTACTAACTTACAGAGAAAAGCCTTTGGCTACTTTGGATACTTGCTTAGATTTCTTCCTTTTCTCCTGCACAGCGCAGGGACTCCTCAGTCTCAACTCCCTAGTGACAGCAGGGGAAGAACCAAAGCGCCCCATGGCTGCCTTGAGGGTCTTCCCTTTCCCAGGAGCAGGGCCTGCATCCCGATGGTGCTGCACCACTGGCTGGCTGAGCAAGCTGCAACAGGTCAACCTGACTCGGTATTCTTCTTTATAAAATGAGCACAGCAAGGGGAAAAAAAATGAAAAAAATCCCAAACAATGAGATACAGTTGGACACAGGATGGCCATGCTGCCAGGCAGGGCGTCTTGGGGGACGTGTGTCAGCCACCAGGGCGAAACCCCGCCTGCCTCTGTGCTGTGGGCTCCCTGCTCACACCTGCCTAGCTGGTGGCGGCGGTCAGTCCCCCTGCGGGCCCTCTCCTTGTGTGGACCCTCGCCCGGCCAGGGGCCCTTTGGGGCCTTCTCTGGTTGTGCTCATCTGTGGCTTCCTCTTACCCTCTCGCTATTCAGGCCCACCTGATAGCCACCTTCCTGGGAATTCTTAAGACACTGGCAGCTCTGAGGTTTGTGTTTCTTATTTCTGAGTATAGTTATTGATTTATTTGATTTTAAACACATTTTCTACCATTTTTGGGGGCTTTGTAAGTGGGAAAGAGGTAGCGTTTCCTCAGTTGACATCATGAAACCAAACTGTCAGTGTAATTTTACTTTTTATTTTCTTTTTTAGTGGGTTTGGAATTGCTTATGACATTCCTTTTATTTCCAAGGAGTCACATTTTAAACATCATCCCAACGACAGCTTCCATCTTTGAAATGATAAGGGCAGGAGGCTGAGGAAGAGAGCACCAGCGATGATGTCCACGTGGGACATTCACATGAGCGCCAACACTCAGCAAATACTAACTAGGAAAGGTGCTCCTGGCTTCTGCACTGCTTCGAGATACAAAGTTCTTCCTTAAAACAACTTGAGAGTTACGTTTCTTGCTATTATCCACTTACTTTCCCTTCCAGTACCTCACAAAGTTCTTCACTCCTCTGGAAAATTTACCAACAGTTTTCTTATTATTTTCTTTTATTTCACAGTCGCAAAATCTCCCATCTCCTCTGGAATGTTTGCTATCATGCCTCCCACCACGCACACCCCCAGGTACCGACGACAGCTATCTGTGTTTGGACACTATTTGCACGGACACGACCCAACATTCCACTGGTTGTTGACTCATAGTAAGCTTGAGGGAACTACAGCTTTCTTTCAAAGTGTAGTTATTTTATTGTTTTTCTCCCAGTTGGGAATTTGAATAGTCTTTTTTTAAAATAGAAACTTGGCTTTACATTGTATTCTTATTATATTTCATATTGTTTGATTCATTCCATCTGTTCTAGGCTGTCAAAGACTTTTGGATCCTGATTCCCATCCAATATTTTAGCCCTCCTTCTCTGTTTTATAACATTCACAAGTGCGAGGAGTTTGCCTCTGGGCCTCACCCAGGTGCTGATAAAATACTGAAGAGAGAAGGCCAAGGGCCAAGCCCCGAAACACATTTCTCTAAGAGCCGGGAGATCTCAGGGAGAAAAGTGGTCACCACGGCCACAAGGACAAAGTGGATGGCGTGTGTGTGTTACAGGCATTGCCTTCAATACAAAGCACCACACTTTTTAAAATATGAAAGTTTAGAAAATCTAGCATATTAAAAATCAGCTTTTATGCAAGTCGGGCAGCCAAAAAACTGCAGACTCCTCAAATGGGATGGTGGCATTGCTCTTCCTGCCTCCCTTTTGCCCGGTGCCGACACGAGATGCAGGCGGGGAGAGAGGGCCACTGCGCCTGTTCCAGGACTCCCCAAGCCCTTCACCCACCTCCAGACAGAAAAGAGGGCAGTGTGGAAAGACATGATTCTGGAGAGGGCTCTGGTGAGGCGCTACCTCTGGGGGAAGCCGTGCCTGACTTACTGTCCACCCGACCCCATCCCAGTCACCACCGCGACAGAAGCACTCTTGCGCTGTGTCTGATGGCACTGGCTTCTGTGGGGCACCGAAGATCTCAGACAAATAACCAGTGATGGTCTTATCCTCAGTTTACTTAGGATGATGCTTTTTTCTGGATTTCTATAATTTCTAAACTAACACCTGAAGATATAGAGCTACTATTTACAGTCATCATTAGCAAATCTTAAAAAAAGGGTCATTATATACACTAAGACTATGTTGGTATGTGGTAACTGATGTGTTCTTTGGAATTTTGGAAACTAAATAAAAACAGTATTTAGTTTAGTGCCCTGATACAATCCAGAACTGTTAAGACTTACAGTAACATAAAAATGCCTGCATCTTTAGTCTTTATTCACTCTTTTAAAACACCCTTTAATCTAATAAAGTGGGTCAATGACTCAACTAGCCACATCTTTGTGTCATACTTAAAAGAGAGATGACTAAAGAGAGGCTGTTACCAAACAACTTGGATTTTTCCACTTAAAAATTAATTTTAAGAAAACTGAAAGAAAAATAAAAAATGAGGAGTAATTTAGGAAATTAGTCTCAAATGCAAGAAAATTCAGTTATTTTTTTCCTTCTCTTTAGAAGGTTTTTAAATCTAAATTTGTTTGGAAAAACAAATTATTCGTTGAACTTATACTTCAGTTTTCCCTTATTCAGGTGAGAAAATTCTCCCACATAAGTAAAATGTAGAAAATCTTAATACCTACTTTTGCAACTTAAATTGCTTTTTTTCCCAGTAAATCAAGTGCAATGAAGCAGAAGCTCTGTGCTTGTCACCAATCCTTTATTGAAACTGGTAACTGACACACTTTATAACAGAACAACAAAAATAATGTTCACTATATACAGCCTTTGTATGGACTATTTGACTATACACAAGGCAGAGTGATAACATAATCTAATCTTCATCATAGTTTGTGCACAAAAGACAACAAACAGACACCATGTGCACGTTACAGTGAAATGACATCACAGGTCCAGTGAGAATTCAGCATAATACAAAACGTACTGATCTATTGCAAACGACATCTTTCTAAATGCCCAGCTCCTACTCAGTAGCAATTTACCCAGAGTCTGAAGCAGAGATTGGCTGTGTGGCTATAAGTCTCTTGAGTGAGACAACCTCTGCAGATAAGTTTGCTATGCCCTGCTTCAAATACAAATTCTCTGGGTCAGAAACTCTGTAGCCACTGTCTTTAATTTCAACAACTCCAGTTTTGAAACTACTCTGAGTTTTGCCACTCAGCTCTTTTTGATGCCAGTGCTCCGATTTCAGAGCCCAATCCTGAATGTTAGTCACCTGCACTGAGAAAGGAGTGAGGGAAGAATGTACCATACTTGGGGCACTATGCTTTTCGAGTTCGAAATGTCTTTTAGATGTCATGTCAATAGGTGAGGAAAGTTTCTGTGTGGCATCGAATTCATTATCAAATGCTTCCACTTTGATCTGCATGGCTTTGGCTTTGATGCGAAGCTTGTGTGGCAGGGCAGAGGAATTCACTTCCGGAACTTTAACCACCATCGGGTGCGCACATTTACGGTCGACCGGAGAGTGGATGGGGCCCTTGGGGACCTGTTGCTCATCTTCTCCATCGGATGACTTGCCCACGACACCGTCGTCGGTTTCCGATGTTCTTGGAGAGTTGCTGGAGGAGCGGGTGACTTGCAAGAGAGGTGGAGAGTGTGAGTAGCCAGAAAAAGAATTCCCCACGTAGTTCTGATAGATGGACGCGGCGTAGGGGCCTCGGTCGTCTCTCGGCTCCCGGGCGTAGCTCTCCAGCTCCAGCGGCTCTTGCTTGATGCCTCGGAACTTGCTCTCCGGACTGCGGCAGCTTCCCTGCACGGGACTCTCCTGCGTGTGTTCTACCGAGGACACTTCTGAGACGTCGGACAGAGAGCTTTGTGGAGAGTGTTTAATGACAGAAATGCAACTACTTGCCACCACGGAGGGTTCGTGTTCGTCCACAAAGGAGCCCACGTTGGATTTGGAAGTCTGGTAGTCCTGGAAGTACACGGCTGTAGAATTACTGAGCTTCTGAATCTCTTGAGCGTATGCTGTGGAGCTAATTAAACCGAACTTTAATTTTAGTGAGAGCAGTTCAGCTTTTAAAGTGGCATTTTCTTCTCCCAGTGCAATTAGTTTGTTCTCCAAAACCAGGTCATTCAGTCGACGCTTCTCACGAGATCTCTTGGCAGCTTCGTTATTTTTCCGCCTTTTTTCCCAATACATAGCATCTTTCTTTTCGTCAGGAATGAATTCCCGTTTCCTCCGACATGCGGAAGATTTGTTTTTCCCCACATTTCCTTCACTCAGAAGCAGCTCTTCGCCGGTGGTCAAGTCTTCCGGCACTTCGGTTAAAGCAGAACTCAGCACCGTCACCCTGTCCACGCCGCTACTAGTATCAAGGGACACCTGCTCCTTTTTGATGGTCTGCATTTTTCTCAGCTGCATCAGAAACAAGTTGACCCTATAAATGCAGTATAGGAGAACAAATTATTTTCCCAGTATTCTCAACCTCTTCAAAAACTGTGGTGTAAAATCCATCAATATTCTTCCTTTTGTTCTACTGTTCAGGATAAATCTGTCAGGCTCCTCTTACTGAATGGAGTAGGGTCTTCTTGGTTATCTGCAATACACGAAAAGAAACAGTTATGCATGCGATACATGTTTTTTCCGGTGATGTACACGGAACTGTGCTAAGCATTCAGGGTTTACAGGCACAAACAAGGCACCATTCTTTCCTTGAGAGTTCAGTCTCAGAAAGGAAGTAAGTTCCCAAACATCTATACTGTAAAGCAGTAAGGACAAATCCCCAGTGAGCCTAATCAGCAGGGGACTCTATGGTCCCAGAGAGTAAGAAAAAAACAAAAATAAAACCAGCACTGCCTAAGGAGAAGTAGAGGAAGGCTGTGTTTAAGGAGAAATGGTTGGGTGTGGGCCACTACAGGAAGGAAATGACAGATCGCCTCTGGTTGGTAAGTTTCTAAATACTACGTGCACATTGTGATGCTTCTTAATAATTTTAGATAACATTTAAATCACTGCCAGGCAAACGTGCTCACCTTGTAAAAGGAACTTTACCAAGTAAATGACTTTACCATCAGTAAACAGGTTCTGCAATCCTATATGGAATAAAATATAAATGGAGATAATTTTTCTTCACAAACACCAAAATAAAAGCCTCACTAACAACTGAGTTGTTTTTTTTTTCTTTTTGAGACAGAGTCTCACTGTGTTGCCCGGGCTAGAGTGCCGTGGCGTCAGCCTAGCTCACAGCAACCTCAAAGTCCTGGGCTCAAGCGATCATCCTGCCTCAGCCTCCCCAGTAGCTGGGACTACAGGCATGCGCCACCATGCCTGGCTAATTTTTTCTATATATTTTTAGTTATCTGATTAATTTCTTTCTATTTTTAGTAGAGACGGGGTCTCGCTCTTGCTCAGGCTGGTTTCGAACTCCTGAGCTCAAACAATCTGCCCGCCTGGGCCTCCCAGAGAGCTAGGATTATAGGCATGAGCCACCGCGCCCGGCCACAACTGAGTTGTTTTTGGTTTTAATCTGTGCCTTAATGCAGACATAAACCTGCCCATCACATCCCTGACTGCTGGGTGGGCTTATATCTGAGCAAATTCCACCAGGTGATTCACTGTATCTGCATGAAAGGATTCTCTGACTCAGTAAAGCCATTTCTGTGGAAGCATCTGAGCTTATGAGATGAGAAATGTTTCTTTTTCTGATTCCTTTAAATTGATCTATCAAAACATTCAAGATCGAACCTTCAAAATACTTTTTTCTTGGTTCTGAAAATTCTATCATAATAGATTTCAGTTATATATTAGCTTTCGACTATAATAAACAGTAACTATTCAAAGGGACTTTTTAAAAAGAAGTACAGTGCATTCTTGAAACTTAAAATTATTTTAAGCCAAGAGACTATAATTACAGAAATAATTTTTTCAGTTTCACTAATTAGTTTCAAGTAAAATGCAAGAATTCAAAAATAGAATCATCAATTAGCTTCCTCTTCCAATTTGGCTTGACAGTTGCCTTGACACAAGATAGAATATCCATATTATGCTCCAATAACAATCTTTTCACAGTGCTTTTTGGACCTAACTTGTGTTTGTAGACACTGATTCTCTACCTAATTTCCCAGTTGGCAATACTTTTTGTAAAGTAGAGGTGGTAAAATTGCTCATTTAGCACTGTCTGTATATAGTGGCACTCTACCCTGCCATATTAAAAAAGATGAATGTCACTATTTCTTTCTTATGCATAGTTTTATAATGACTAATGAAATGAAGTTTAATTTTATCAATTGGAAAAGCCTGCCAGCTTCTTTTGTCTTTTCCCGAAGGAATGGAAGGAATGATGTAATAATTTAAGGATCATAAAGAATAAGGTCTCATGCCGTATTTTTAAAGTTCATTAAACTGAGCCAACACAGTTAAGGGAACAGCTAGTCACAACTCAGAGAAGTTTGTGATTACTACTCCAAAGTTTCTGTTTGTTCTTTGATAATCAAACTTTAATGGGCAATGAAGGCAAGGAGCATGTCATAGTCGGCAGTGACGTTGTAGAAAAGGAATCTCACTATTTATCACTTAGTAAAACAGGACTATTCCTTGTAATTTCCACTTAGGTTTTTTCTTCTAACATGAAAAGCCTTTTTCCTCTGCATGTTGAATGGGTCCTGCCCTCCTGCTGGCGTGTGCATGCCCCATCCAGTGAGGTCCCCGCGCTAAGTTACCGGTGGGGGCAACAGGGAGAAACGCCAGCTAAGGAGGACAACTGCCTTATCTTTCCCAAGGTGCCTTCAAATCCCCACTACATTTTTTAACTTTCGGTTTGCGCACAGCACGTGGTTCCTTGCAGGCTACCACCCTGGTCCCCTTGAGAATCTTCCTCTTCCACGCATTACCTATCGGCCCCTTTCTTAGAAAAAAGTCAGATTCTTTCACGTTTTGCCTCACTTACGAGTTTTTACAGTAATGCTTTTGAAATGCCCCACCATTCTGCATTAGTTATTCTTCCTAAACTCTGCGTGACTTCTCCCCTCCCCGGGCTCTGGGCCCCGAGCGCGCACCGTGGCACGTTGCTGGCGCGGCGTCGCTAGGCCACATAGAAACAGCAATCCTGCTTCCATTTAACAAAAATAGCCCCATTTGCCTTAAAATTTCTCCAGCCTCTCTCTTCTAGCTGTCTAAGTCCACTAAGCTATCTAGGTCTACTATATGTCCTCTTTATCATCTCTACAACTTCGCTGGTGCTTTAACAACTACAGAAAACCTCATTTGTTCTTAATCTTCTGTCTGAATTTCACTACGTGCCACCGTAAATCTGTGATTCTTCTCGCGTCTGCACATACTCATTAATTCTACAACTCAACTGGCAAATCACCACATTCTACCTTAGGATATTTCTCACAATAGTATTTATCGCATAACCTCGCAGTGCTGAAAAGAGTTTGCCAGCACTGGGGAATGACGCAGAGAGAGGTGCCGGCCTCACACACTGTGTGTCCTTCTGCGTGTTTGTCTTCTATGTCCAACTAGGCTGCAAATTACTTCAGGGAGGAAATTAAAATGTATTTGTGGTCTTCTAGCAACAAACTGAAGATATCAACATTTGATTGATAGTCACCCATTTACCTTTTATAAGAAGATAAGAACATTTCTGATGCTTTCTTTTTGAGAAATTTAATGTTATTAAGTGAATTATAAAGAATATATTTTACTTGTTAACAGAGAGCTTCTCTTATTCATTAATTGGCTTATTCAACACATATGGAGCACCTACTGTGTACCGAGCACTGAGCTAGACTTGGGGCACATAAAGAGGGAGGGAAAATCAAATTCCTGGGACTCCAGGCATTTGCAGTCCCGGTAGGAGAAAAACATGCAAGCACCAGGCGTGTGCACAGTGCTCCAGACACGGGGTGGGGCACAGTGCATCGTTTCTGACGGCGCGGCTTAAGTATGGTGCTAGCAACAAAAACCGCAAGACGGTGCCATTTACGGGACACTTGCTCTGCAGCAGGCACTGGGAGCCTGACCTGCTTTCTTCCACTGACCTTCACAGGGACCAACTGCGCGGTGTCCCACTGCTAGGTAAGTGGCAGCACTCAGATTCCAGCCCAGCTCCCTCAACGGCCCCCGCTCCTACACTTGCACAGATTGCTCTATGCCTGTGCAACGCGGTCTCGCCACACACAGTCCTCTGTGCCACTCTCATTCCTCAGTAATTACACACACCTTTACTAAGATACTTTGGCGGCTGTGAGGCACTTTTAGGCGCTGTCCTAACTTAAGCTAGCAAGGTACCATCTAGAACTTTCCTCCACCTTCCTCACAGTTGTTTCATATCCTGAGAGTCCTTGATGAATTGAGAAAACATTTTATTAATTTTCATTTCCCTGCTAAGTTTTAATCTCCTGGTAATCCTATTCATGTCAAAATAGAGGAAAAGAAATATGGTAGTTGTGGACATTATCACCTGTGATTCTTTTTTTTTCAACAAAACTTTTTCAAAATCGGGAGGGCAATGTCTCTCTGACTCTCTCATTTTGCAGATGAACCAGCTAAAAGACAGCAAGTCTGACTTTCCCACGATCATACAGCAGTGAAAGGCACAGGCAGGCTCCGGGCTGTACTTATGTTCCTCAACAATTAAATTAAGGCAAACGTAAAGGTAGTTTACAATGCCTTCTAGAAAGTCAGTATTTACGCTAACCTAACAACTTTATTTCAAATCCCAATATTTTCCCTTATGATTAATTTAACAATTACTTCATCTGTGTGTCATCTTTTCAAATCACCATTTGATGCTGTGGCACATTAGTCACTGCCTAAGTTTCTTTTCTGGTGAATAATCGCTACTACGTGCCAAGTCTATGATGTTAGTGTATTCAGCACCATTACCTTCATTACACCCACTAGATGATACGACTGGTTCTTAAAACACAAATAAAAAAGAAAAATTTAAGAGCAGGCGTCATCACGTGCCAGTTGACGTGTTTTTCTATACCTACTCTGAAAGTGCCATGACCGATTCATATTTTTTTATAGTACATCACACTATTTTTATAAATAAGAGTTATATAGGTCTAGACTTTTAAAGTTTAAGTCAGATAACCTAAATATTGTTTTTAATTAAAAATTACATTTGATTTAGAAAATTACCTAAAAGAATACAATTTCACAACATAAATTCTAGACCAAATTTATCTTTGAGGAGTTATCTCATTACTTATGTTTATAAAGATAGATCTTTATCTCTTTTCTAGTCTATACCTATCTCTCAAAAATTGTGTTTGACAATTTAAACTCTACAAAAAAAGAAAAGAAACATGCTTTGTTTCAAGCATCTAAGATCTTACTAATAGTTTAGACATTAAAATATACTATAAGAAATTTTTGTTATTAATTATAACTTTAAAGTATAAGTTTTATTGCAAAATGCTTCTATTATATATTTTGGTTTTAAAATTCTGTCAATCCAAGATGAAATACTATTTGATATGCCCAATGATCTGGCAAATTTTTTAACAGAAATATCTCATTTTCCCTCTACTCTCTGAACATATTGTTTACTTCCTCAGATGTATAATTCAAGATAAACATAAATTA